TTATTTGAATATTTTTTATATTAATTTATGTCGACCTCTTTATTTAAATTTTTTAATTTTTCGGTAGTTTTACGGGGAAAGGACAATCAATATTAGAATGACTAGTTGCGTGTTCAAGAAAAAAATATAATTTAAAGATGAAAATTCATCAATCTACTTCAATGAAATCGGAATTGTAGCTCAACTATAATCTTACTTTAAATTGTTCCGGCGCCTTCACCAAACCATAACGTTTGTGTACATATTTTATATTATATTACAAATTGTATTTTAATCGTAAAAAGAAAAATATAAAATAGCATTAGTGCATCTACGTGCAAAAAAACGGACAAACAGACCTACGTATTCCTACAAGGGTTGCGTTTTTCATTCGGACGTACGGAACCCTAACCTGAGAACCATTTTGATATTGTAAGTAGTTGAAAAAACAAACGGGTTTTCCCATACATTCATACTGCAAATGTAAATTTGTACGTACAATATTGTTTTATTTAAAGATATATGTTCTATTAGATATGTAGCAAAGAGGAGTTAGAGATAGCCTTAAATAAAATGGAAGCGGTATTGATAAAACAGTATTGTATGAAAATAAATAAAAGCAAAACAAAAATATTAATAGGCAAGGGAAGAAAATGTAGGGAAAGAACGAATATATAATTATATACTAGACTTTCTTTTTTTTGCATGCCTTATAGGTTTTTGCAAATTGCTCGTTTTACATTATCTGTGTTACCATAAAAAAAATTCTCTTAAAACTGCAAACTCCAATTAACATTTCTATTTCTCCCTCCGTTGTTTTATTTATTCTCTAACTTTTAAATTTAAACCTTTATACTTTCTCTATTATCATTATCTCTTTTCCTTTAAAAAACACAAGCTTTTTCATACTTAAGCCACTGCATCTAGTTCTCTTTTAATAACCCTTTGATATAATGTACGAATTTTTACCGTCCCATCAAGTACATTATAATAGAATTTTACTACATGCATAAGTACGAATTTTCATTACTTATTTTCATTTTTTTTTACCCAGGAATTTCATTTCGATTAAAAAAAATCTGAAGTTAAATAACAAATTACATAATGCTGAGACATTGCTGATAATTTTTACATTAAGAAGGGAATTAATCTTTAAAAATTTTTAAATCCCTCTTAATCTTTTTATTGCACTGAAAAATTGTCACATCCAAAACAGTTTATTTATCCACACGTTTGATGTTATTTTAACGGAATTTATAACAAACACCTTACTTGATTATAAATATTGTATTGTATGGATTGTATTACTAATATTTCTTACGAATAATAATAAACGCATAACATACAAGTACAGATATGAAAAATGCAAAAAAAACGTATACTACATATGGCTAGGTATCACTATAGTCAGTGGCGGATTTAGGAATTTCATTAATTTTGATCCAATATTTTTAATTTAAAATCTTTTCATTTTATTGAAATATACTTTTTAAATATATCATAAGTCGACTCCTTTAATATAATCAATCATAATATCAACTTACATACTTAAATTCAATAAAATTTAAAGATTCTTGCTCGCAGATTTTCGGAAAATTATTGAATTTGTAGTTGCGTCAAAAATCTTAAATAGAATTGTACAATTGGGAACATCAATTTGGGTTTAGAAAAGTAGAAGAACGCGGGAGGCCATTCTAGCTTTGTAGTAACAATGGAGAAAACGATAGAAGAAAGAAAGGGTGCGTAAATACGATTTGTAGATTTAGAAAAAGCTTTTGACAATTTTAAATAGGACAAGATGTTAAATATACTTCAAAATTTAGGGATAGAGATAGAAGAGTGATACTTTGTATAAAAAAAACAACAAGCAATTATAGAGCTGCAACAGAAACGTTGAGAAGTAAATATTAGGAAAGGAATCAGACAAGGATGCACACTGTTACCGTTACTTTTTAATCTATACACGAAGACGCGTTCAACATCATTAAAGACAGTACAACTGTTGGGATAGATATAGAGGGGCTAAAATTTGCAGATGATATAGTAGTATTAGCATCTAGCAAGGAGGAGTTAGAAATAGCTTTAAATAAAATGG